GAAGAGATTTTGGGAAAGTTTGGGATCAAAAGAAGGGTCCTGGGCAGGGTTTGGGGTGAGGAGAGAAGGTTTTCAAATTATTTGAGAGAGATTTGGGGTCCTGGGAAGAGCCCTGGGAGTCCCGGGCAGGATTTGGGGTGAGATGAGAAAAATTTGGGGTGAGGGCAAGGGGGTTTGGGGTCAGGGGAGGAGGTTTGGGGAGGGTTTGGGGTAGATTTGAGGTGATGGCAGGGAGATTTAGGGGGGATTTGGGATGATGGGAGGAGGTTTGAGGTGAGGGAAAGGAGATTTGGGGATGGATTTGGGGGGAGAGGAGGGGGTTTGGGGTGAGGGAAAGGAGATTTGGGGATGGATTTGGGGGGAGGGAAGGGGGTTTGAGGTGAGGGAAAGGAGATTTGGGGAGCGATTTGAGCTAAGAAAAGAAAAGTTTTGACAGAATTTGAAAGATCCTGGCGAAACCCCCACCTCCCACCTGACGCTTCCACCCCTCCCAGGTGTTCACCTCCCACCTGGCCGCCCCTCCCTCACCTTTTCCCGCGTCTCCTCGGGGATGTGGTAGCGGCTGCTCCTCTCCAGCTGCTCCCTGTCCCCGGCCCGTTTGTATTCCCGGGCCAGGTCCCGCAGGCGCCGCTTGTAGCGCAGCTCCCGCAGCTCGGGGGCGCTCAGGGAATCCTCCCCGAAGAGCAGCTCCTCGTCCTGGATCTCCAGCTCCAGCTCCTCCAGCTTCTCCCGCTCGCGCTTGGCCAGGTACTCGCGGCGGGAGCGCTTGCGCAGCTCCGGGATCTGCGGAGAAAAATGGGGGGAAATGGGGTTAAAACGGGGAGAAAATGGGGGAAAATGGGTTAAAATGGGGAGAAAATGAGGGGAAATGGGACAAAACGGGGAGAAAATGGGGGGAAATGGGGTTAAAATGGGGAGAAAATGGGGGAAAATGGGTTAAAACGGGGAGAAAATGGGGGGAAATGGGACAAAACGGGGAGAAAATGGGGTTAACAGGGAGAGAAAATG